TTGTAAATGAATACTTTTATATATATATATATATGTATATATAAAGTAAGAAAATTATTTTTAATGGAAATTTGTTTATAACATTTAGAGAGATTTATCATAAAATAATAAATCTAAAACGAAAATACAGTCAACTATAAATTGCATTAAAAAATAATAATTCAAGCAATAATTTACAGATAAGTGACAAAATAATCCATACGTCCCTCAAGGGACATATTCCTAATCATATTCTGAAACAATTTTTCCTTTGACAAAAAGGAATTATTACTTTATCATATTAAATATTATATTAATATTTAATATTAAAAATTATATTAAATACTTTATTATAGTGTTTTGCAGAGGTCTCGAGGTCTCAGCTAAAAGAATATGTAATAAAAAATGGAGATTTCCATTTACAAAAACAAAATTGATCTCGACAACGCCATCCTTTTATCTCAAACACTTTTTCCTGAAATGCTTATTTTCAAAATATTTTGTCGTCCCGATACTTTTTATACATTATGTACAATTTAGTCCTTTAGTATTTATTTTTTCTGTATTATATTTGCAATGACTTCGAAGATTTTATTGAGATATCTTACTTCAAGAAAAAAATATCTTTTTAATATATCTCAAGAATTCATTATATATATAAAATTTGATTCCACAATGTCTATATATAAATATCGTAAAGTATCATATTATCATATCATATAAAAATTGAAAGCATTTACCTAGATTGTAATTTATCTATCATATATGTATTAACAAACTCGTCTTCAATGCAATTGCTAATTTTTTGGACAAAATTAATATTAATATGTTCAGTTTGTGTAATTATTTGTGTTAGTTGATCATAAAATAGTGGTTGTGATTTAGAACAACTCTTCACACTCTTCATTACTTTATCTGTGAAAAATTTTTATATTAAAAATTTATAAAATTTATAAAATTTCAAAAATTATAAAATTTCATTATATTATTATATTAATTCATAAAGTAAACGTAACATAAAAAATGTTATTATAAAGGATGATGCATAAAATGGGTTGATTTCTGTTTAAAAAGTATTATGTAAGTTATATATGCAATCTTACGTTTTTTGAATTGCTGATATAGTAATTTTTAATCACCTAAATTCCTATTTCTTTGGTCTTTAATAAAAAGAAGTTATAAAATTGTACTATATTACAAATAATTAAATAATTAAACAAAGTTGTCGCTATCTAAATTACTATGAAAAGTGACTTATTTTGACTCCTTCAAGGTAAATTTTGATCATTTTCTCTTTAGATGGATAAAAATGTTACCATTGTATTCGGCAATCCAAAAATGTAAAATTACATACATACATATATATATACAACTTATACTTTTGGTACAAATCATTTTACCACTTCGAATACTATTATATTTGTTGTACAACAAATTTTTTCTCCAGTCTTTAGAAACTTTCTACTCTGCAATCAATTAAGCCGCTTAAAAAAATTTGTTATATGATTAATATTAGGGCTAAATGCTTTTAAAAATTGTATATCATGCAAAATAGACATACTGAATAATTTCAGAGCTTCGTCACAAGTTTCAGCTTTTCCTGCTAAATGTTTTATTGCCATTACTGCTCCCATGACACCTTTACATTTTGTACTGAAATATATAATTTGTTATGTTTCATAAGAAAGATAAATATACATATTAATTTTATGCCTATCTTACATTGGTTTAGCAGTAGATAACTGTTTTTGTAACAATATAAATAAATCATCTCGTAAAGATTCTGAAGTGGAATCATTAGCTAGACATAATTTGTGCAGCAAATTACTTAAAGTACCAACTTCTTCCAGTCCAAAACAATCTATTTTTCTAATAAAATTCTCAAGTGATTACAGTGTAACACTAAACAATCTCTTTCTGTTGTATTTTCTGTCATTTTGCAAAGTACAGTCAATGCATGTTTTACAGTTTGATCATTATTACCCATGATAAGAATAGCATTTTTTATAATTTCACGCTGCTTAAATGGCACTTCTTTTTGACTGAGAAACTGTAATCGGAACCATTCTGTCGCAAAATTAATAAATACACATTCTTCGAGTTTTAACAGTTTACTAGCTAAATGTAAGATTGGCGATTGTAATTCTCGAACAACCTAAAAATATAAACAAATGTGTATAATGTGCATGTATGCATGTGTAGATATGCGCGCGCGTATATATAAAAAAAAAAGATTAATAGAAATTTTTTGGTTTGCAAAACGCATACAAACCTCTTTGTAATCACTATAAAGCATATGAAGCAAACTTATCCTGTAAAAACCACATTGTATATTTTGTTTCAATAGAATTTCTGCACTTTTTTGTTTTATTGTTCCAGAAAATATTAGAAATAAAATGATTAAATCCAATGGTTTTGGATTTTTATTAATATTTTTTATTACTGTTATTGCGGCATCTGTCACATCTTTAGACAATAACATATACATTTTTAACGTTTTAATTATTTCTACTTGAGTTTTATAACAGTCTTTAGTTTTATCTCCAGCAAGAGGTTGCATTTCTATATTGCGTAATATAAGTAACATTTGTTTGACAAGATCAGAACACACACAATCATTCAGAAGAAATCTGCAGTAAAAGATCTATGATAAAAAAATTATAATTAAATATTAACAAATATAAATTTAAAATAAAATATAAATGTACCTAATGACAATTGGTATAAGTTCTATTTTTACATTTGTTTTTAACAAATGTAAAACTTTAATTTTATATTCTTTCAAATATTCTTTGCCAAGATTAAAACTGGCAATACAATTCAAAATTACATTTGTTAGTTCACAATTTTCCTCTAATATTTTTGTTAGAACTTCAGTGATCGTTTGGTGTTGAACATCCGATAAAATATCAGGTAGGAATAAAATGAGTTCATATTGAAACCATAATGGACATGTTTCTAATAGCTGTTGTACATTTGTAGTCAAAATATCAATATTAACTATAGTATCCAAAAAGCGAAATTGATGTAATAGCAATACAGCCCAGGGTACATCGTCTAGAGTATCTCTATATAAAAATAAAATATATGTATTATTAAAAAATGTATATTTAAATGATTAAAAATGTGCCAAAGTATTAATCACATAAAAATATAGAAATGTTTATTCATATAATTAATGAACAAATAACATTGCGGTACAACTTTCAACTTTCCTTAAAATTTTTCAGCATTGTTTTCTTAGTCATTTTTAATGAAACTAAAAAGTGTGAGAAATATAAAAAAAAGATGTAGTAAGTTGAATAAAAAGGAAGATAATAAATATAATTAAAATTAATATTTAAAAAAAACTTAAAGGGATTTTAAACCATGAAAATTTTATGCTTAGTAAGTGAATAAGCAAATGAGTGAATGAAGAAACAAGAGAGAAAGGAAAGAGGGAAACAGATAAATTAAAATTAATTAAATAGCTTAATAGAACAAACAAATAAATCATAAAATATCAAGATTTAATGAAATTATCAATGGTTTAATTAAAATCAATGATTTTAATAAAATATTCTATTATCTATTTTCTGATTCTATTAATTTTAATTTATTAATTTCTTTCATTATGTATATTTATTAATTTGCATAAAAGATTTCTAAAAAGATTCTATGATTTTAATTCTTTAAATGTTTATTTCTCTTAATGATACTTATTATTCTATGAATTTATTTGATTTATAATAGATTTGTATATATATTTTGATACTTTTTCTAATTTTATATCTGAAGGAAACTATATTAAATTTTATATTGCAACATTATTTTTATACAAGTATTATTACGATTATTAATTATATATAAATAAATATTGTCTTTCACAGTATCAGGCTGCTCCTCGCTCTGATGAAGTGAATTGCAATGTTTACAAAACATTGGCATTCAACAATGTATAATAGCATGGATAATACCCATAAATATATTGACTTTTTTGAAAATATTGTCTTTATTTAATACATTTTTTATTCATTATTGAATAAATATTAATATTGTCAATACAATAAAATATTTTTATTAGTAAAATTAACTAAATATAACAGCTTTTTTATTACTTTTGCATTACTAAACTATAGAATATACAATAAGCAATAAAAAACTGATAGAGACTGAAAAAAATTGATAGATTCATATACAGGATTATTCATTTTAATCCATCCAGCCAAATATTTTAAAAATTAAGACAAAATGCTCATGTTGTTAAAGTATAATTAAGTATAATTATAATTGTAATAAAGTATAATTCAATTAGCTACAAGATACAATATCAGCTACAATCAAAAATTGAGATTTTTATTTAAAAAAACAAAATTGATCTATATGACTTTGACTACATTACCCAAGATTAAACTGATGATATATTATATTTCCCTTTCAAATAATACAACTTTTGTTTGAAATATTTTTGTTTGTTGGTCTCAGTCTTCAAGATATTTGGCTGAATGGATTAAAGTGAATCCTGTGTACTTCAATATATATTTATACATTTTTTTAAATCTCTGATCTGTGATTTTATATAAATATAAATATATATATATATATATATATATATATATATATATATATATATA